AGACGAAGAAGGCAATGAACAACTTTTGGCATGGTAGAGGGAGCGTGGCAAGGCTTTTCCAACACTTTCAATAATGGCCCGAGATATCCTGGCTGTTCAAGCATCATCAGTAGCATCGGAGAGTGCTTTTAGCGCAGCAAGATTTCAAATAGGAGATCATAGACATTCATTAGTGGAGGACAACCTAGAGATTTCCGTATTATTTAGAGATTGGATTAATTCAGAAAGAAGAAATCTTTGTTTTGAAAAGTTAACCACTAGGGAAGAAGAAAAATACAATGAGATACTTAGAACTGGAAGCGATGACGGCATGGAACTCATGGAAAATCAATCAACATTCCAATTCCAGAATAATATCCGAGAGAAATTATAGATAAGTTACAACGAAGCTATATAGGGGCTTACAAATATTAGTATGATAATTTGTAATTGGGTACTAAGAAGCCTAGTTCAAACAGAACCCTTCCTAGAGGTGGCTGCGTAGATTAGGTACTCTTCAAAAGAATTATATTTGTATGTGAAATTTAAAAGTACTATTAATAAAATAAAAAGGCTCTAAGCCTTGAATTTTTTTATGAATTGTCTTACACTCTTACTTAGTTACTTAATGGCTTGAAATTATATTAAATAAATTATAACTCTATTATAATTACTTAAATATTTCATTACAAGTCTTTTATTTTAATATTTTATAATTCTTTACTTAGTTTTCTAATTTTCTTATAATTTATTAAGTTTTAAGTTTATTAAATAAATCAAAAAACTAGCCGTAACAAACTTTAAAAACTTAGTCATTGTCAAAAAACTAGCCGTTTCCAAACTTAATTCTTAAATAATTAAATTATTTTTAAAAAAAGCAGCCCACTTAAGGCCCAAGAAACCGTTCCGTCCCATCCCGTTTGTTAGTGGGATGGGATGGGACTACCGTTTCGTCCCATTTAGGCCCGTCCTGGCTAAATATCGTCTCGTCCCGTCCTATTTATTTGGTCCCGTTGCATCCCGTTGGACAACCATACTCCTCTTTAATGAATTTATTACTGGCCTCGGCAATAGGGCGTTACTTCTATCATACCGGTGGCACGTTGGGATCCAAACTCAGCTTGTCCATGGTTATTTCCATCGGGATACCTGTCATATCCTCGTGCGACCATGCAAAACAATCAGCGGCAGTTTTAAGGAATTCAATAAAACCAGACCTGAGCTCGGGGTGTAGTCCTGTCCCCAAGTGAAATTTTCTTTCTAAGAATTCTTCGAACAATACCACTTGCTCTATTTCCTCTGCCGTGGATTTCGTTGCGTCCGTCTCTTCCGGAACTTGGAAATATCTCGGTACCTGATATCGTTCTGACGACTCTACCCTTGGAATAACCTCTTCTAACTCGGGAGTAGGTATCAGTTCCTATAATTTCTATGTCGTACGCTCCTTACTGAAAACTGAGATTGCATCCATCTCCCTTGTTGCTTGTTGGTCACCTTTTATCTGCTTGATTCCTTCGGACGTTGGAAACTTCAGCAATTGGTGATACGTCCAAGGTACAACTTTCATTTTGTGTAACCATGGCCTTACTAAGATGATGTTGTATCCAATATCACCATCCACTACTTCGAAGAAGGTTGTTTTCATTACTCCTTCAGCATTCGTGAGCAGCAAGATCTCTCCCCGAGTCGTCACGCTCGCAAGGTTGAATCCAGCGAGGAGTTTTGTTACTGGAATAATGCTTCTGGTGAGTTTATCTTGTTCCAATACTCTCCATTGTATGATATTAGCCGAACTTTCTGGATCCACTAGAACATGCTTAATTTTAAAATCTAACATATTTAAAGAGATTACCAGTGTGTCGTTGTGTGGTAACAGCACTCCGTCTGCATCTTCCTCCGTTAAAGTGATATCACCCTCCCAGAGTCTTTTGATGTGAGTTATCGATACTTTAATATTCTTTGCCGCCGAAAAGGTGACCTCGTTAATCTCGTTCCCCCCAAAGATCATGTTGATCGTCTGGCGTGGGGTTTCTTCTCCTGCTTTCGAAGATTCCGCGTTGTCTCTATTGCAACCGTAATTGTTCTTATCTCGATCGCTCAAGAATTCTCAGGGATGACCATTCTTCAATAGCATTTCCACCTCCTCCCGAAGATATCGACAATCCCATGTCCGGTGATCGTTCGTCCCGTAGTATTTTCACCATAAATTGGGATCCCTCTTGATGGAATCGGACCTCATAGGTCTTGGGAATCGTGCTTCTTTAATGTTACTCATGGCTAACACCAGTTCCACTACACCAACGTTGAAGTTATATTCTGATAACCTAGGGTAAGAAAGATCTTGAGACCCCGACGTTTCATTACCCTGAAGTGATCTATTGTTTCAACCACGATCAATCCCTCTGTCAACGGTGGACTTCTTTGCTGCTCGAAAATTTCTGCCACAGCTTTCGGTACGCTCGTAGGGCAAAAACCGACCCCTCGAAGTCCGCATATCCGTGTCGTAGTCATCATTTGATTTTTCTCTGTTCTTCTCATGTCCGTTAGCCGATGATGTCAAACCGACCTGGTCATCTTCGATCCTTATCTTTGACTCGTACCGGTTTTGAACATCTGCCCAAGTAGTTGCTTGAAACTCAAGCAGGCTCTCCTTCAGTTTCCGGTAGGCGTCTGAACTTCTCAGATTCAATTCGTTGGTCAATGCTTCAGATGCCCATTCATCCGGGACAGCCGAGAGCAATATTCTTTCTTTTTGGAATCGGGTAACAATCTCTCGTAATTATTCAGATTCTCCTTGTGCGATTCTGAATATGTCGGCCTTCCGGGCTTGCACCTTTCTGGCCTCGGCGTGAGATTTAATGAAAGAATTTGCGAGCGTCTCAAAGGAATCTATGGAATGCTCAGGCAGTAATGAATACCACGTTAGGGATCTCCTCATGATAATTTCTTCAAATTTATTTAGCAACACAGATTTAATTTTGTGAGGATCTAGATCATTTCCTTTCACCGCCGTTGTGTAGGTGGTAATATGTTCCTGTGGGTCTGAAGTTCCATCATACTTTGGAACTTCAGGCATTTTGGAATGCTTCGGGATTAGTTTTGGTGCCACACTTGGCTTGTACGGTAAATGAACATACTTCTTCGAATTTGAGCCTTTCAATACTGGTGGTGCGCCCGGGATTTGATCCATGCGGATATTTACTTCCCTCATGAACCGTAAAAGCTCATCTTTGAATGAATCGTTCTCGTTGTTAAGACATGATATGCTCCCCCAGCCCCATCGGAGCCAACTTTACCCGTGGGAGTATTGTTGTCGACTCTCTGCGTTGTTTGGTCTGCGGGAACAATGGGAGGAATTGGATCACACCTGTTTGTATTTTTCTAAGCACTTGATAGCGCCTTCTTCAGTTCCGTCATAACCTGATCCTGTCGCATGAGATGGCCTAGAATGATTGCCTGTTGCTCTTGCAGGATCCTCACAGCATCCGCTACTTGCTCCTCGTCAGCATCATCGGGAGTTGTCTCCAGAACCCGTCGAGGGTACCGTCTGTCATGTACCGGTGTGGCATCATTTCCCTCATTGCGGGTGTCACGGATTGAATCCTCGAAATGAGGCTGATCCTCTCGAATTTCAAGGTTGTGTGCATCGTTAACATTGTTATCTATCATTTTTTAATGATTTTTTCTAAGACAAAATAATCAAAACACATTAATAAAAAAGACAAGGATCAATTTAATTGCATGACTGTCTAGGCCCCACAGTGGGCACCAAACTGTTTAACCGTAAAACGGTACAGTTGAATTTATACGTGGTTTCTAGACAAGTGAACTAATTTGGTCCTGAAATAATATAATAATTGAAGAGATACACCATACTTAGCCTTAGAAAGTAGATGAAGTAGCAAAGATGATGATTTGGTGAACACGGTTTGTGAACACAGCAACGATCAGATCAAAAAGCAAGAAACTGAGATTGTATAAAGCTCTGAATAGAATATAGTATATGTTTTAGCCAGAAAATTTCATCCCTTACAATGATAACTGAGTTCACTATTTATAGCTATGTCTAGGGAAAAAGGTCCTAGGATCGTGCCCTCCTTTAATGTCAATTATGAGGGTCATTGATGAAGCTGTAACGGTGAACATAAATGCCAAATTCTCTGTAACGGACCGTCGCTCTTAATGTTGCTGAATATTCCTTAGTAAATGCTACCTGGCGCAGAGCATTTAATACACCTTTATGAACGTTATCCTTTCCGGTGACAAGCGGAGTGGCTGCGTTCGGTACTCAGCCACCCTATCTTGGATTCCAATCATCCTTCTAGTCAGCCACGTGTCATATCATATTTTACCCTATACAATAATAATACTAAATATTAAATAATATAATAAAAATATTATATGATGACTATATGAGTTCCTTTAATTTAATAGAGATTTTATTATTGGTATGTCATATTGACAAATAAGATGACAATTGAAACTTATTAAAGCAATACAATTTAATGTTCAAACAAGCCCGATCACAATATAATTTAATTAATATTTTTTAATATTTCTCGCATATCGCACGGGTATGACTACTAGTTAATGATTAACATACGAAGACAGAGAAAATGAAACGGTACGTATAAAAAAGGTGGAAGATTATTCTACCCTTAACTAGAAGTATAATCTCCGTAAAAGAGTGATCTCCGTATATGAAGACAGAGAAAGTGGAACGGTACGTATAAACATAGAATGAAAAATATTTAAAAAATAACAACGCATATAATAATTTTTCACAAGGTCAATACACCGCATATAAACTCAAATGAAAATTGCAAAAAGTTAGGAAGGGACGGTGGTGCAAATCATGGGTGGAAGGTGCACTTTATCTCTCTTTAGACAAGTGCATTTATAATGCCCCACGGGCTTCTTTAGTGTCACGGGTGCATAAATACCCACTATACCCATGCATAAACCTTTGCACTTTGTCCTAACGAAAAATAAAATCCAATATTGTTACTAGCACAATAATAATGCAACCAAAGACTTTCCATTTCATTCTTCTGATCATTTTCTTGATCTCATCTCATTCTCTGTCCTTCAACACCGGTGGCGAAGACGGCGGAAGTGAGATGACCTCGCCGGAAACATCTTCTCCCCCTAGTGGAGGAAGTGGTGCAGATCCTGGACCTAACTGGGATTACAACTGGGGTTGGGGTTCTAGCCCTGGAGGAGGATGGGGTTATGGCTCGGGCTCGGGCAGGTCGCCTGATGGGCTCAGTCGCGGCTGGGGGTTTGGTTTTGGGTCCGGAAGTGGGTCCGGTACTGGCTTTGGCTATGGTTCTGGTGGTGGTGGAAGCGCTAGTGGTGGCGCTGGTGGTGGAACTGGTGGTTCTGGTGGCTACAGTAGTGATCGTGCGCCATCGATTCCAGGGGAGAGATATCATCATGGGTAAACATGTTAGATGAGTACTTGTGTTTTTGTATGAATATAAAATTTTAGGAGTGTATTATGAATTTAATACGTGTTAAATATAGGGATAGATATTTAATAGCATACCATGATAATTATATTTATATATAGGAAATAAGTCATGTGAAATATATGTATCAATATAATGAATGTTCGCAAAACATTTTTAAGAAAATAAGAAGCTTCTGTTCTATATGAAGTTCAATATATATAATTCCGGTTGTGTTTGTCCTGAGGATATATTGGTTTTTCCTTTTTGTCTAATGTATGGTTTTACTTTGTCCAATCGAAGGTGAAACTCTGGCAAACGCATGTGTAGAAAAGCCTTTTTTATGAGTGTACTGAGGGACGACACATGGCATAATGTTTTCCATGTTACGTGAACTAATGTCATTTTATAGACTTCCTAGAACACCTTGAAAGGGGGTCTTTGTCATGTGACCAATACGTCTGTCACACCCTTTTATACCTCACTAACCCTCTAAAAGATATAAAAGTCGTTTTCAAAGCTCAAAAGAGTTTTCAAATTAGAAAATGACAAATATTGTATTTCAAAGGATTTTCAGAGTCGTCACTTGACATTTGGTTTCGATGTGCCAAGTCACCGTTTAAAAAAATAATTTTTTCCTTTTAAAACACATTTAGACTCCAAAACTAGTTTACATCAGAGATTCTAAGTAAGGGGGTTCATTTGACTCGGGGAGAAAGTGTTAGACATTCCTCAGGTCCCGTGAAAGTCACGATTGCATACATGATCTAATTGGTTTTAAAGAATACTCAAACTGAGACAAAAACACACAAAGAGAGATAAACACACAAGAGGCTCGAGCTTATCCTCGCCTAAATAAAATAAAATAAAACAAAAGAAAAATACTAAAAGTTTATACTATGCTCACTTCGCCGATGTCATTCACTACTAGGTATATCCCGGATAAAAATATATACAAAATCTACATGGCATTCCCCTAAATAAAATAATAACTTAGGGAACAACCTTTTGCCTTTGATGCCAAAAACAAAGAAAACGTCCTAAAATTTGTCTACCCGGTAAGGTCGGCCTAAACATGCCCCTAGCGGTTAAAGAAAGTAACAAGGAAATAATAGAAATAACAAAATATCCGAGGTTGAATTCTGTCAATTTTTTAACCCCAACCACCTACGGTCCAGTTATCATCCAAGGTTGTAATGAATTTACAATTGTCCATTTATCTAATGCAGTAGTACTTTCAAGTCTAAACAAATTGAATTCCTAGCGAAATTGTGAAAACATTTGCACTCACTCAAGTATAAATCATGAATTGTTTACACAGCAACCACGACGAAGCAATTAGAATAAAAATAGATATTAGGAATAACAAAAGACAAATAGAAATCAAGTAGGATCACTGAAGAGAAATGGACCTTTAATCGAAACTTCCTTTCAAATTAGATTAATAGGCGGATCTCAAAACCGCGTACAACACCAAATGATGACCTTGACTGGAACTTTCCGGAAACACGAACTAGATAAAAATGAGACAAAGAAGCTTTTGTGAAACAAGAGAATTAGCTCAAGATGTGTATATTCATTTACAGAATTAGCTGCATATATATACGGATGCTAAGAATCAATCTAGGCCTAATTCTAAGCTTCCACAATCATGCTCCACATTCTGGGGGATTTAATTTACAATTAATAGGAAAGTGATATACTACAATTAAAAAGATATATTTCTTAACACTCCCCCTCAAGTTGGAGAGTGAATATCATGAAGTCCCAACTTGTTGCGTAGTGTCACAAATTGATCCTTTCCCAAGGCCTTTGTAAATACATCTACCAACTAGAAGTGTGTCGGTATATGTGATGGACTAATCATTCCAGCTTGCATTTTTTCTCGAACTATGTGATAATCTATTTTAATATGTTTAGTACGTTCATGGAAGACAGGATCCGCTGCAACATGCAAAGCATCTTGATTGTCACAGAATAGTTGTGTAGGAACTGCTTGTGGCACTTTTAGATCTTGTAACGTAACCAAGTAAGCTCCAAGCATGTGTTAGCCATTGCTCGATACTCTGCTTCGACGAATGATCTTGAAAAATTTGAATTTTTCTTAGATTTCCATGAGATAGAGTAATTACCTAGAAAAATGCAATATCCTGTAACTGATCTTCTTGTGGCACGACAACCTCCCCAATTTGAATCACAAAAGGCCTTTAAAGTGAGATTATTGCAGGAAGAGAATAATAAACCTTGTCCTGGAGTACCCTTGATGTATTTGAGGATCCGTATAGCAGCATCCTAGTGAGGCTTTCGAGGCTCATGCATGTACTTACTTAATGTACGAACAGAATACACTATTTCAGTTCTCGTAACCGTAAGATATATCAATATGCCAACTAAGCTTCTATACTTGGTTGGATCATTCAATAATTCTCCATTAGTGGGAGTAAGTTTCAGATTTTGTTCCATTGGAAACTTGTCTGGGCGTGCTCCTAGTAGACCAGAATCTTGTAAAATATCTAATGCATATTTTCTTTGAGACATGAAAATATCTTTATGTGATCGAGAAAATTCAATACCCAGAAAATATTTCAAATTTCCAAGATCTTTGATGTGGAGGCGTTTGAGAAGAAACATTTTGAGACGCTCAATTTCATGAAAATCATTTCCTGTGAGAATTATTCATCAACATAGACCAGGATTGCAGTAAATGAAGTACCTTGAGCCTTGAAGAAAAGAGAATAATCGGCTTTTGATTGTTCATAATCAGCCTTTTGAATAGTTTCTGAAAATGTAAGAAACCAATTTCTTGATACCTATTTTAGACCATATAGAGATTTGTGTAGCCGACATACAACATTCTCCCCCTGTCGGTGAAGACTGGGTGGAGGTTCCATATACACTTCTTCATTCAAGTCACCATGAAGGAACGCATTTTGGACATCTAATTGGTAAGCAAACCAATTGTGCCCGACAACAACAGTAAGAAGACAACGAAGTGTAGTAAGTTTAGTTGTTGGAGAAAAGGTTTCCTGATAATCAATACCCTCTACTTGAGTGTACCCTTTAGCTACAAGACGGGCCTTATATCGATCAATTGTACCATCTGATTTGTACTTGATTTTGTAGACCCATTTGCATCCGATGGCTTTATGGCCAGCAGGAAGAGGTACCAAACTCCATGTATTATTTTGTTGGAGTGCTGCTAATTCTGTATTCATGGCTTATTTCTAGTGAGGATCAATAACAGCTTGTTCATAAGTGGTAGGATCGGTATGACATGTAATGTTAGCTAAAAAGTACAATGTGCAGATGACATACGAGAGTATGAAATAAAATGAGAAAGAGGATAATGAGTACCTGATTTAGAACTTGGTGTCGAGTTGGAATGATTGGCTTGTGATGACAGTATGTAGTCTTTATGCCATGTTGTAGGTTGCTTAACACAGAGGGATTGTCTTGCCGGAGCTATAGAAGTATCTATATAGTTGAAAACATGTGTTATCAACCTGGTTGAGGGACTAAGTGCACACTACACTGTCAGGTTGCACTAGTAGGTTCAGCCAGAGGTCAAGTTGCAGAAGTTGTAGGTTGGTCATGTGAATTATCTGATGCTTCAGTGAGTTCGGGTGGAATCAATGGTTCAGGAGATATAGTAGAATTATCTGTATCAAAACACTCGACATGTTGAGGTTGGTGAGATGAAATTTTGGTGGAAGATGATGGTATATGCTGCAAATTTTTTGTGAGGTCTGAAGAAAAACTATGCATTGCAGAATCAGGATTTGATGATATTGAGAATGAAAAAGTAGTTTCTAAAAATTTAACATCTCGGCTCACAATTTTGTTTTTATCCAAATCATAAAGTTTGTAACCTTTTTGACCCGTAGGATACCCTACAAAAATATAACGTTTGGCACGAGAATCAAATTTATGAGTGGGATGAACAACTGTGGCGTAACATAGACAACCAAAAACTTTCAAATGATCAAGTGATGGTGGATGACTATACAATAATTCAAAAGGTGATTTGGAAGATAATAATGGCGAAAGAAGTCTATTGATAAGATAGACTGCGGTCAACATGCATTCGCCCCAAAAGGTGAGAGGTAAGTGAGATTGAAAATGCAATGCTCTCACTACAACTAAGATATGACGATGTTTACGTTCAACCACTCCATTTGTTGAGGAGTTGAAACGCAAGTTCGTTGACATTCGATACCTTGCGACTGAAAAAAGTTTTTCATTGATAAAATTTCTCCGCCGTTATCTATTCTTATGGTTTAGAATAAGGCATCAAATTGAGTATGAGCAAATGCAATAAAAGATTTTACTAGATCTTGGGTATCAGACTTTTTTTCCATAAGAAATACCCAAGTGCCCCTTGTAAAATCACCCACAATAGTAAGAAAGAAATGTGCCCCTGAATGTGTAGACCCCAAATATCACAATGCAAAAGATCAAATGGATTATGAGTTGATATTTAACTTGATGAAAATGGAAGTCTAGTGTAACGACTCAGCTGGTCGTTTTGAGAGTTGTAGCCCAATTCCCATATTTACTGCTCATTCTGTACTTTATAGTTATATTGTGACTTACCGGTGTACTGTAACGACCTCGCCGGTCATTTTAAAAGTTATATCCTCATTCCCCCATTTACTGCTCATTCTGTACTTTGTAGTTGTATTGTGACTTGCCAGGATATCCAGTTTGAGTCCGGAGAGATTTCGAAATGAATTGAGACACTTAGTCTCAAGGTTGAAAACTTAAGTTGAAAAGGTTGACCGGGTGTCGACTTATGTGTAAACGACCTCAGAATAGATTTTTAATGATTCCAATAGCACCGTATGGTGATTTTGGACTTAGGAGCGTGTCTGAAAAATTATTTGGAAGCCCGTAGCTAAATTAGGCTTGAAATGACGAAAATAAAAATTTAAGTTTGGAAGTTTGACCGTAGAGTTGACTTTTTTTATATCGGGCCCGAAATTCGATTCTGAAAA